CTCACACCTGTCAGAATGGCTATCATCACTAAATCAATAAACAAATGTTGGCAATGATTTAAAGAAAAGGGAATCCTTATGCACTGTTGGTGAGATTGTAAATTGGTGCAGCCATTGTAGAAAATAGTACAGAGCGTCCTCAAGAAAATTTAAAATAGAACTACCTTATGACCCCAAAATTCACTTCTGGATATTTATCTAAAGGTATCCAAGACACTAATTTGAAAAGATATATGCAGCCCTATGTTCATTGCACCATTATTTACAAGAACCAAGATATGGAAACAACCTAAGTGTCCATACATAAGTGGATAAAGAATGAATAAAGAAGATGTGGTACAGGGGGGATGAGGACAAATATGTGATACCTTAATCAATAAAGAAATTAAAAGAAAAGATGTGGTACATATATAATAGAATATTACTCAATCATAAAAAGATGAAATCTTGCAACAAAACAGATAGGCCTAAGAGGGTATTATTCTAAGTGAAATAAAACAAACAATACAGGATTTCATTCATATGTGGAATTTAAAAAACAAACAAGCAAAACAGAAACAAAGCATATACAGAGAACCAATCGTTGGTTGCCAGATGGGAGGGAGTTTAGGGAATAGGTGAAAAAGGTGAAGAAATTAAGTACAAATTGCCAGTAATAGCCCTATCTAGTTTGGCTCAGTGGATAGAACATTATTGGCCTGCTGACTCAGGGTCCCAGGTTCAATTACCTGTCAGGGCCATCTCCAGAAGGGGTGTGCAGGTGGCAAAGATCAATGATTCTCTCTCATCATTGATGTTTCAATCTCTTTGTCCCTCTCCCTTCCTCTCTGAAATCAATAAAAAAATATTTTAAAAATAGCCATTATAAAAACAGTCATGAGGAAGTAAAGTAGAGCATACAGGAAAGTCAATAACATTTTAATAGATATGTATGGTATCAGATGGGTACTAAATTTAATTGGGTGATCACTTGGTAAGTTACATAAATGTCCAATCAATATGTTGTACTCCTGAAACTAATATACTATTGCATGTCAAGTGATATTGGGGGCGGGGGGGAAGACGTCCAAGTTCCTGTACAGTCCAGTTGAGGCGTGTACTGTCCATTCAGAGGTAAATATAACACATTCACCTACTTTATATTAAGGCCTGACAAGAGGGAGGATCAGAATATTGGTTTCTCAGTTCTCTGCCTTTTTGCCCGCGGTGTTTAGTAAAGATCGGCCAATTTCTTCAAGTCAATCAACTGTGGAGATTAGTACATCTGCACTAATAGGCAGAGGATCAAACATCCTGCACCAGGCAGGACGGCAAGGGAGGTCGTAAGATGGCATTAAGTTAAGGTGACCAGACGTCCCCATTTAAAAAATATATATATATTTTATTGATTAGGGGAAGAGAGAGGATAGAGAGCTAGAAACATCAGTGAGAGAGAATCATCGATCAGCTGCCTCTTGCACACTCCCTACTGGGGATGTGCCAGCAACCAAGGTACATGCCCTTGACGGGAATCGGGAATCGAACCTGGGACCTTTCAGTCCTCAGGCCAACGCTCTATCCGCTGAGCCAAACCGGTTTCGGCAAGACGTTCCGATTTTTAACAATTTGTCCCACAAACACCTCTGGACGCGGGACAAATTGTTAAAAATCGGGACGTCTGGTCACCTTACATTAAGCCCAAAGGCTGTGGTCAGAAACCAGGACCTGAGAGTCCGTCACCAGCAGTTTTCCCGCCGCCAGGAAACAGTCCCGCCCTGAGCCAGCCGCGCAGGCGCACTAGTGCGGACAGAGAGGACCCGCCCAAGTCCCTGAGTGAGCACGCGCAGTGGCGCGGGGCGTGGCAGCGCTGCACGCTCTTGCGGGGAGGGAGTCGTGGCCGGGTTCTTATCTGATGCCTCAACCTTCTGGCCTGAAGCGAAGCTGCCTTGCCCGGGGAGAGAGTGGTCACGGTGTCGCGTGGTAACAAAGCTTAGGACAAGGAGAAACGAAATGAGAAAGGACGTACTCCGGTGTAAGTGCTAACTGGTGGCTGTTTGGGAAGGAAGGGGCGGGGGGGGCGTCGGGAGCGGGAAAAACCTTCGCGAAGGGGAGGGGCGGAGCTAACGTGATTGATAGGCGAGAAACTATGCGAGGGCGAATGGGAGGTGAGTGAGGGCGGGATCTGCAGTTGAACTGGAGCGGTGCTTTGGAGTAATAATAACTAACACGCACCTGGGACTTCAATAACCAATCTATGCTAACCACTTTCTATAAATTACCTTATTTAGTGGGACCTTATGGATATGAAGTTTTATCTCTTCTTTACACGTGGGGAAACTGCGGGTTAGGGGTATTAACCTAGGCAAGAATACAGCGGGGGTCCCAAATTTAGAAGCCTGACCTCAGAGCCCATACTGTTAATGGCTCTGCCCTACTGCCTGCCCTTCAGAAAAATCAAGGTGGAGTGGGATCCAGTCAAGAGGATTCGGTTGAATGGAATTGACCAGATTGTTGGAGGATGTGCAATGGAAAGTGGGGAAAAATGCTGTAGCAGGTTTTTCCTACACTATGTGAGAGCGCTGAGGATGGAGCTGGGAGGCCGGGCCATGCCCCCAGCTGTGGGAACATTGCAGCCCCGCTGAGTGCTGTGACTGGATTAACTGTAGGATTAACATTTTCTTTTGGGGCTGTGTTGTCTTCCAGGTGTGTGAAGTTAAAGCATTTTAGGGACTTGAGATAGTGCGTTTAAATTGTTCCTGTCTTCTCTGGCTGCCAAACAAAATGCCATACACTGGGTGGCTTAAACAACAGTGTTTTTTTGTTTTGTTTTTGTTTTTTTGTCCTATTTTAATTCTCACCCGAGGATATTTTCCCCATTGACTTCTAGGGAGAGTGGAAAGGAGGTAGGAGAGGGGAGAGAGAGAGAAACGTCGTGAGAGAGACACTTAGATTGGTTGCCTCCCGCCCTACCGGGGCTGGGGAACTTGCAACTGAGGTACCCTTGACCCGGACCCTTGGGTCTGCAAGCTGATGCTCTAACCATTTAGAAAACTGGCCAGGGCCAGAGTTTTTTTTTTCTTTCTTTCTTTTTTCTTACAGTTCTAGAAGCTGGGAAATCCAAGATCAAGGTTCCCTGTTCAGGACTGTTTTTCTCTCTTGCAGAATGCCAGTCTCCTTACTTGCCCTCACACGGCTTGTGAAGAGAGAGGTGTATTACTCCTAGAAGGCCACCAATCTTTATAAGGATTAGACCCGCTGTTATGCCTTAATTTAATCTTACTTACCCTTTTCATTTTATGCTAATACCTCCTAAAAGCCCTCCCGCCAAATAAAATACTCATATTGGGGGTTAGGGATTTAACACATGAATTTAAGGAAGAGTGGAACACAGTTCAGTCTGTAGCAATATTTTATACCAAAGTAAATAACAAGTGATAATTGAAAACTGAAGAAAATGAACACTTTCAAACCTTATATGTACCTGAGATTCTTTCACATAACCTCTTATTACCTCATTTAGTGAAGATAAGCTTTGTGCCTTTCCACTGGTGGGGAATTCTAGGGAGAACTTGTGTGGGAGGTCATGGTTGTCATTCAGGCAGCCAATCTGAAGAGGTCAGAAAAAGCTACACTAAGCATTTTTAAAGCGAGATTAGTGTATCAACTATTCGTGGATTTATCTAAACCCTTCTTTAACTTCTGACTTAGCTTGTGCTGTTTCTGGAATAATGAGATCCATAATTACCATCCATGGGGAGTGAAATAATAATTACTTTTTTTTCTTTTTAATCCTCACCCGAGGATACTTTGAAAGAGAGGGAAATACAGAGTAATATCGATGTCAGAGAAACACATCGATTGGTTGCCTCCTGCACATGCCCCAACCAGGACCTAGGCCAGGAAGGAGCCTGCAACCGAGGCATGTCCTTGACCGGAATTGAACCTGGGACCCTTCTGTCCACAGGCCAACACTCTATCCACTGAGCCAAACTGGCTAGGGCAGTAATTACTTTTTTTTCTGTATTGTTTCCTGTTGTTATTCTAAAGTTTGGTAACCAAGTCTGTTTTCACCTTACCCTGGTGAGGGAAGAGTGAGGAAATACAAAACTTAGCTGCTTGAAGGTCTGGCAGATGTGCATTCAAATCTTGGATTCAGGCCATTGCTATGTGACTGTGGGAAAGTCACTTAACCTTTCTTTAAAAAAAAAAAATAAATTAATTAATTAATTAAAAAAATATATATATTTTATTATTGATTTCAGAGAGGTAAGGAAAGGGAGAGAGAATCATTGATTGGCTATCTCTTGCATGTCTCCTACTGGGAATGAAGCTTGCAACTCAGACATGTGCCCTGACCGGGAATTGAACCATGACCTCCTAGTTCATAGGTCAGTACTCAACCACTGAGCCACACCAGCTGGGCAAGTCACTTAACCTTTCTGAGTGTCAGTTTTTTCATCTATAAAATAGAGTTAGTGCTACTGACCACATGGTTGTTGTGAGTTATATGAAAACAGTTTGAGCTATTAAAGAACTGGCCTTAGACAAGATATTTAAGTTATGGGACATCCTTCACTCACACCTCTGAAGAACACAGTCCTCCACCTACAGCCTCCATGTCTAACTGGCTATTTATTTATTCATCAAACTTTTATTGAATGCCTGCTAGTTGTCAAAGCACCTGGCACTCTGAGTGCTAAGGGCAGTGAAGAACAAGACAGCAGCTTATACTGTGATGGGGAGGACTAAATTGAGTTGAGTGCTAAGAGCTATGAAGAAATTAAGTGCAGGGTAATGACATCAAAGAGTGACTTAAAGTAGTGCGGCCTGCATGTGTGCATGCACATGTATTTGGAAGGAGGGTATTTGACCAAATAAAGGGAGAGACTTCTCTAGAAGCTGAGCTGTGGTTGAGGACTCATCATTCCCTCTGGGAGGGACAGAAAGTGCAAAGCTCATCAGATCAGGCTGGATGCTTTAGATGTCTGTAGGCTGAGCAGTGATCTGTTTTAAAAGGGCAGGAGCCTGACAGAAGGCTTTGATTCTTGAGGCCAAAACTTTTTTTGGAGGCAGCTCTGTTTTGTGCTGGAAATGGAAGGTAGGATGAACTAAGAAGCAAACTAAAGATGTCTATAAAATAAGGATATGTACATTAACAGGTGCCATGTAAGAAAAACTGAAATTGTATTTGTATTATAATTCTCTGCCTGTGTGTCATGTTTTTTCTTACAGGTCTCCCAAGAGGATAAAGCAGCATTTGTCATGCAAATACTGCCCTGTGCAGAAGTGAGGGAAGGCTGCTGCAGAAGTGAATACAGGCAACATCTTTGACCCCAGAACACAGGTCTGTGAGAGGAAATCTCCAAGACTTTCATAGAGGCATTAGAAGGCTATCCAAGCAGCAAAGTATCTCAGGTGAAACTCAGGGAGTTTCTGTATAAGGGTGTTCAAATTCTGCATTCTTCTAGAGCCCTCTGTGATAAATGCCACTGGGTGGATTGCAGGATTTGGTATGGCTTCATGGGGATATGCACATGTTGGAGAGAACATGATCTCTGCTTGCCAAATAATGTACAGCCTAAGGAGAAAATCCGTAATTAGTATTGAGATTGATCTTAGAAACTGTTCTAGATTTCAAGCCAGTTCTTCCTGGCTCATCAGATAACTACCAGATATTTTTCTCCCCTTAGGATCATGGCTGATAAAAACCAGGAGATTGGTGGCATCCATTTCCCTTTTCCCTTCACACCCTATTCCATCCAGAAAGACTTCATGGCAGTGCTATACCAGGTGCTGGAGGATGGCAAGATTGGGATATTTGAGAGTCCAACTGGCACTGTAAGTGTGAACAGTTGGCCCAAGTGGGCTCTTGGGAGACCCTGACTACAACTAGTCAGAGGTTTATTTGCCTCTGCAGAGGTTTTCATGGTTTGGAGTTGGGCAAAGTAGTTCTCTCAGTTTACCTTTCTGAATAATGCTCACTTCCCTCTATTAAATTGTTAAACACAACCCCAGGTTCTAAGGACAATTAGGCTACAGGCAAAGAAGAATTTGAATGGCAGTGGAAGCATAGCACTGAAAGTTTTAAGACTTCTCTGGGCACACAACTTCTTTGATATTGAGCAACATAGAAATTACTTTGGCTTATTCACAGATTTAACATGTTGATGTAGTCTCCAGGCACTTGATTACTGAGTGCTGGAGGGATCCAATCAAAGCCTTAAGTTTTTTCTTCCTGGCCTGGAATGAGGGATTTATTAGACATTGTCTATTGAGGTTGCTAGGGCTGTGGTAATCGGTTCCCACTTCTCTCTTACACTTTATTTTTTATAGCAAGTACTATGTGATAGTGAAATGTATGTGTTGCTGTGAAGGTCCCTCAATGAGGCTGTGACCTCCTGGAGGATAAGGACCTTGTGGTCTGTACCTTTGTGTCCCTATCATCTAGCAGAACTTGGCCCATTTGGCCATAGGAGGCTCCTAATAGGTTTGTGGAATGAATGAATAAAAAGAAGTAACTCATTCTTTTCCTCTCACTTGCTGATGAAAGCATGCCACTCTCTCCTGAGATGACATGACCTCCTGGGACAGGAAAAGTGCAGCCAGGGGTACTATATTGTTTCATTTTGTTCTTTAATACACACTGAGTGGCCAGATTATTATGATCTCTGAATGCATAATAATCTGGCCACTCAGTGTATATCCTACAGAATAAAAGGCTAATACACACACACACACACGCACACACACAATTTGTTGTTGTTCAAGCAAATGCCACTGCAAGGCTAAGTGAAAGGCCTGTGATGGAGGCTGTGGACCCAGCCACTGTTTGGGGGCTTCCATTTGTCAGTATTTGTAGAATTTTCCCTAGAGCCATCTATCAATAGTTTTTCCAAAGAAATCTCTCCTTTGAACACTTGCCTAGTGGGTCCAGGCCTGACAACCAGTATTTTTGAGGGACCAGAGACGTGACTTTAGGTACACAGTCTCTCACTTAATGCTCTGCTTTCAGCCCTCTTCCCCACGCTCTGTCAACCTGCTGTCTCCAGGGCCTCCTGGCTCAGCTTTACCAGAGAATACTGTGAGGAGTGGGGACTGCAACTTGGGGGTCTAATTATCCTTAAAAGAATAACAATTAATCCCTTTGTTTTTAGTGCTATGCCGTGGCCTTGCTAGTTTCTGGGCATTTCTGAGGGGAAATCTGAGGAGACTTCTGTAGACACCTGTACTCAGTGTCTTTTACTCTGCTAAGTCTGTTCCATTTCTCTGCTTTCTCCTAAAACTTGTTACTATCCCTTCTTCCACTTGTTTTTGTGGGTATAAGCCTCTTTTATGCCTTTGTATAATTTTAATGTGTTTCAGAAAAGGATGTAGAAGAGCTAGACGAGCATGTGTACATTCCACTTGTTAACCTAAAGGCCCACCTCCTCCCTCTCAGGTCTTTCCGTCTTCAGCTCCTTGTCCATTCCAGGAATCCTCTCCCGCTGCTCAGCCCTTCCTGTTGGTGCTCTCGGTTCTGTGGCCTCATCTGTGTTCTTCAGTTACCTTCAAGAAAAAGCCACTGTCTTCCATGTCCCACCCCTAAAGAGCTCCCTCCTGTCCTGTGCCCCACTGCCTGCAGGGGTGCCGTGCTGTTACAGACTGTGCCTCACCTTCTAGTCCTCTGCCTCAGATGCCTGCTCCCCGATGATGCCTATTTTCTCTTAAGTGTCATCTTTTTAAGCCTTTCATGAGACCACCACATTGAGTTGACCTCTTGCCTTTGTGCCCACTGTGCCTTGTATAGCATTGCGGTTCTGGAGTCCATGTCCCGCAGGAATGCATAACCCTTCAAGTCATATGTTTCGGTTTGTGCCTGTGGGCACTTTCTAGAGAGCTCTGTGTTCCCACCATCAAACCCAGTGCATGCTACAGTGTAGGTGTTTAGAAAGAATTAATTTATTTTCTTTGCATAAACTTTTTAAACTGTGTTATTTTAACAAAAACCCTAGGAAATAACATTGTATAAAGCTAGGTATACTGTGGGTACTTTATTAAATTTTATTTCATAACAGGTGAGCAGTTGATTATACATCTTTTTAATGTTTTCCAGTCTAAAATTTCTGTGGCCTTTTTACAGAACATGAATCTGCAGGGCTTTGGTGGTCTTTTTTTCTTGGTGTTAGAGTTTGCCACTGTTGTTTCTGGAAGATAACTTTGCCCTCAGAAACTTCCTCAGCTCACTTTCAGGAAGAGGTGCTGGCTATCTAACCAGCATCTGTGCTGGGACCATTGTTACATGTAGGGATAGTCTCCTACTCCTTACTTGATGACAGCTGAAGCTCCCATTCCCAGGCAGCGCAGAATGGCTGCCCCAGGCTTTCCTGGAGACTGCTGTCTGCAAGTCTTTGTCACTCAGTCTCTATCAAAATGGACAGAAAGGGAACATATGGAGCTTTTCTAAACATATATGAGCCATCCATTCTTCAGAAGTACCCATCAGTCACAGAGCCTTCTGAGAATTTGATGAAAGTGAATAGATCCTTATCCCTCAGCCTGGCCTGCTCCCTCTCGCACTCAGGGGATGTCAGAGAGCTGGTTTCAGTCCAAACCTGCAGGCCAGACTGAGGGACTCAGTGGTGCACGTATTCATGCACCAGGCCTCTAGTTACTTAATAATCGTAACCCCCCAAAAAACCAAACAAACAAAATAAAAAACAGACCCTAGTTGCTCATTTATGTACCAGGTGTTCCTTTAATCTTGGTATAGATACTATTATGTGTATTAACTTACTCAATGCTTGCAGCAACTCTGAGGAAGGTCCTATTACTGGTATTCCTATTTTGCATTTTTATAAACAAGCCTAGAGAAGTTAGCCTAAGGCCACAGAGTGATAGGTAAAGGAGCTAGTATTTGGCCCAGGCAACCTGGCTGTAGAGTCTGAAGCTCTAGCCACTATGCTCTGCTGAATCCACCCAACCTAGACACACATGCATTTTACCTGCAGTTCATTCAAGCCCAGATTAGGCTCAGAACCTCACTCTGGATACTTTGAGATCACCCCTGGATGAAGCAGGCGTAGGGGAGTGATGGCCTGGACATGAAGGTTTTGGCCCTCCTGAGATTCACCTGAAATGACCTGCCCTTTGGATAGCAGAAGCAGCAGTTTCGTGGAACCATGGCAGCAGCCTTTCCGGAAGGACTGTTATAACAAATCATGCAGACATGGGTGGCTTAAACAACATAAATTTGTTCTCTCCCAGTTCTGGAGGCCAGAAGTGAGAAAGAACCAAGCCTCCCAACAGCTTGGTTTCAGGGTTGGTTCTTCCTGAGGGCCGTGGGAGAAGGGCTGTTCAGGCCCCGCTCCTTGGCTGGTAGATGTCTCTCTTTTCCCTGTCAATCACCTTCCTTTGTGGCCTGTGTATCTAAATTTCCCCTTTTTTAAGGACAACAGTCAGGTTGGATTAGGGCCCACCTCATCTTGATTAAATACTCCTGCAATGACCCTGCCTCCAAATACAGCCACATTCTGAGACATTGGGGGTAGGGACTTTGAGATGGATTTGGGGGAGACAAGATTCAAACCTATAACACAGACCCACAGGGAGAATTCTGGTCTGTAAATCAAGAATTGTGTCCTTGAGAGCCGTTGGTTTGCTTCAGCAAAGTTATAAACCCCAGGACCATGGGCCGGTCACATTCTGCCTGCACACCAGCTGCTTGGAAGGTGTTCTCGGCACGTGGGTAGCATTTCATGCTCCACATGTTTTAGCTTTAATTGTTTTGGGGGCTATTTATCTACTTTCTCACTTCTAGTTATGTTGACTTACAGTAGTTATGTGTAACCTGACAAGCCACTTCAAATTCTTTCAGGAGCTTCGTTTTTATTCCTTTCATCTTCCTACTTTTCCTGGCTATTTTCTTGCTAATTTCTTTCTCCTTCTTCCCCAGGCTGGTCTAACATTTAAAGTCAGACTTTCTTTGACGCTTTAGTAAAATGGGAAAGGTCATTTGGGAAGCTTGGTTTGTTCTCTATTTCTGAAAACATTTTTTTTTCCTGTAGGGAAAATCCTTAAGCCTTATTTGTGGGGCTCTTTCCTGGCTTCGTGACTTTGAACAGAAGAAACGACAAGAGGAGGCACATCTCCTTAAAACTGGAACTGCCCCCTCCAGTGATGGGAAGGACCAGCCCCCATTTATTTTATCCTCACATCAAAAGACCCCAGACACTCTAAGGCCTCCTGGAGAACCTGACTGGGTTACTCAGTTTGTGCAGAAGAAAGAAGAAAGGGACCTGGTGGACCGACTGAAGGTGAGATCCAGGGTGGCAGAAGTGGCTGTGATCTAGGAAACAGGACTTCAGTGATTATTTTGGATTGATTCTGAGATGTAGACACGTGTTCTTCGCCTTTGCAATGCCTCTTAGCTCTCCTGCCAGCTTTGTTGAGTTAATGGTGCTGCACCCTTGCTGTCTGTTTTTGTTGTTAATCCTCACCTGAGGATATTTTTTCCATTACTTTTCAGTGAGAGTGAAAGGGAGGGTGGAGAGAGAAGCATGAATGTGAGAGAAACTCTCACATTGACCAGTTGCCTCCCCACACATGCTGCCCCGACCGAGGGCGCAGAGTGAATCCATAACCCAGGTTACATGCTCTTGACTGGAAATCGAACCTGTGACCCTTTGGTGCATGGGCCAGCACTTTAATCACTAAGAAACATTGACCAGGGCCTTGCTGTCTTTTTAAAGCTGATATCCACAGGCCTTCTCTAGATAAGGGAGTTCCCATTCATTACTCACCTGTGAAAGGAACCTATTTCACAGTTGCCATTGGCAGCATGGTTTCATAGCTGCAAACTCAATAAGAAATGCATTTGATTGTGAGAGTGTGTGGCTGTGGGAGGGGATATAACGACTTCCTGCAGTGAGCAGCGAGGCCGGGACCTGGCGAGGCTCCGGGTCTGGTGATAAGTGCCAGCCAGGGGAGGAGAACTGCCCTGTGAAGAGGCAGAAGACTGAGCAGCCCCAGACTCTGTAAGAAAGGCATGGTTTGGGGCTTCCTGCAGGAATCTCCTTTATGGCTTCTTTTCCCCTATAGATGGAGCAGATCAGGAGGAAGAAGCGAGAAGAACGCCTACAGCAGCTCCGTCACAATACACAGCTCAAGTATGCAGCCAAGCGTGAGGTGAGTGTGATCTCCTGGAGTGGCTGCCGGGGGGCCTTGAGGTGTAGCTCCTTTGGGTGAGTAACCAGGTCCTCAGGTTCCTCTCCCCGACCCCCACTCCCTAAATCCTAATGACCCAGTGGATGGGACCTTGAGCAGAGGTAGTAGTATTACCTGGGATAGTGATACCAGTAAAGCAGCAAGGCCCGAGTTAATGGTGTGTGTGTGTGTGTGTTGTCCTTGGGGATGGCCACACTGAGGCTGACTGTGCCGAAGGTGGGGCATCGGTACTGAGGTTGTTATCTTTCCCCTCCTGCACTGCTCCTGCACAGAGACAGGAAGAAGAAGAGACAGAGCGTCTCCTCCGTCTCAGCAGGGACATACTGGCGGCAGGAACGGAGGCCGAGCCGCTGGAGCAGCTAGCATCTGGGGAGGAGGATCTGGTCCTCTCGGAGTACGAGAGTGATGAGGAGAAAGGAGCCCCTAATGGGTAAGATAGCACTTGTGCTCCACCCACCGCCCTGCTGAGCCCACATGGGAGGCAGCTGCTTCCTGTGCCCAGAAAGAGCCAGGCTTCCTTGTCACCCTTCGGGCACCTGAAGGGATGGAATGCCAGCCTTGCCTCTTCTCTCAGCCAGGCTCCTCCTCAGGGTGCGTAGTGATAATGGCAGTGACAGTCAGCCCTCTCTCTCTCCGGGCACTGGGCGCACGTGTGTTAATGCCGTTATTCTCACACCAGTATTTGTGTCTTCCCTTTACCCCTGAGGAAGCTGTGGCCCAGCCAGGTGTGATGCCTTGGCCACGGCCACAAGGCCAGGCAGCGGGGAGCTGAGACTTGAACCCGCCCACCCAGCTCTAGATCTCAGACTCTTAAGTACCAAACTGCATGGGGTACAGGTGCTTACCCACACCACTGTCTTGGTTCCTGTGTCCTGTGATTTAATTCCAGGCCTTTCAGACAAAGCTGACTGAACAGTTCTTAATTGACAGGAAACTAACCCTGCAACTAACTCCTTTTCTAATAGCACAAGGCAATGAGCATTTCTGCTTTTTTAAAAAACTGAATTGCTAGGTGAACAAAAACAACGAAAAAAATCCATTGGATGACCCTACCTTATACACAGGTAGAGTATATCTATCTGAAAAAGGATTTGGTGTTTCCTAAGAAGCTTAGACTACTACATTGACTAAACAGCCAGCCCAGGAATGCAGGTTGACTTACAGCCCCCATGCTGATGGGCTCCTCATTCATTCCTAGAAAGGGCGGACTCCGTTTATTCACACACCTAGCCTTGCACCGAGATCCTTCTGAGTGTGTGCACTATGTGGCATGTGATTTATTTATTTATTTACTTATTTATTTTTTTTAATTCTGAGGGGAGAAGAGATTGATAGGGTCATAAGTGACAGCATCTTTTATTCCCTCACCCCGTCATTTGGGGCTTCACTCAGGAAATGTGCATGGAGTTGCTGCTGTTTTGCAACCTATGGGGAGGGCGGAGGGTGGTGGGGGGCCGCTCCATAGACACAAGACATACCCAGATCCGCCTGTGGACAGGATAGGGTGGTTGAGGAGACAGGAGGAAAAACGGTGTTTGAAAGAGATGACTATCACAGGGACCATGCCAGTGTGTCAGAGGGCAGGCAACCCTTCCAGGGAGATTGAGGAACGCTGCCCAGACCAGGTAGTGTTTATGAGGAGGTCTTGGAGTTGGCTAAGTAAAGGGAAGAAGTGAGGGAGAGAGCATTCCTGACACACAGCACAGCATGCCCGGGCTCTGACAGAGTGATAGAGTCAAATCCTCTTGGTGAACTGAGAGAAATCTCATTTGCTGGAGGTTAGTCAGTGAGAGGAGAGTAGCCTTGGATGACAGTCAAACATTGACCCTATGGTTTTGGGACTACCACGTGCTTTCTCTCTGTCCTCTCCTGAGGGGCAGAGGGAGGATGGCTTTGGTGTTAGCCTGGGCCATCTCTCTGATTGAGAGCGCAAGCGAGCACCAGCGGCTTTGGTGGAACTTCATTACTGGGGTGTATCCATCTCCTTCTGGCTCAGAGCGCAGTCCTCAGTTTGGTTCTCGTTTGTTTAGGTGTAGGGCTGATCGCTGGCTCGTGGTTCGATGCTTAGTAAGTGTTTCTAGTAGGCCTGCGTTTGCTGAGAAATATGCTTTTTTGTGTTTTGTTTTCCTCTCAGATTAAACGAGGATGAGGATGACCTGGAGGAAGAACATGTAACTAAGGTAAGATGCCGTGTCCTAAGCTTCATGCTGTGATTGGCCTGGGGTCCAGGGAAAATGCGAGGGTCCCTCCTGTAGGTGAGGAGCCTCCAGCCCACTGACTCTGTCTCCCCAGCCCCAGACCTTGGTCTCTAGGAGCTCACCTGGCAGGCTGGTCTGAGACCTGGGAAGACATCTCATGGGAGCAAGGCCTGGGCTCATGCCGCAGGACATGGAGGAACAGCCATTCTGGGCCAAGGACCTTGGGTCTCTCTCCGCATCAGGGGTTGGGGAAGGCCAGGGCAGGTCAGAGTGAGAGTTCTTTGTCCTTTGGATGTGTGATGGCATGCTTCTCTTTTGTTCATATTTTCATTTGCATGGAAAGCTATGAGGCGTATGTGGTGCCAACACTTCTCAAATCCAAATCATTTGATTTTATTCATGTAATACCTTTGTTTTCTCCTCACTCTTCTAACTCTTAGTGGAGTCAGAGAAAGAGTGTTCAGCTCAGCCTCCTCCTGCTTTACTGCCAGCCCCACCCTCCATGCCCTGGGGAGGTGTGTGTGGAACGGCCCTCACCACGCCCCGGAATCTGAGGGACCTTTTCCATGTCAGGAGTCACCACTCATGGAAATACCATTCCTAAGTCACCTGGATTAGGGGCTGAGCATGACTGATGGGAGGAGTCCCATCTTATGGGCATTCTCTTGAACTTCAGGAGTTGAGGATGAAGTGGGGAAACCCTGTTATTTTGCCAAGATCTGTGGGAGAGTCACCTTGCTTTGGGTTTGTATATTTGTGGCACCTTTCCCCATTCCCTCAGCCCATCACCCATGGCATCCCTTGATGTGCAGAGAATATTTCAGGATGTTACACCGTCTTTGAAATCCCTTGCTTTTCCTTGGCACAGATTTATTACTGCAGTCGGACCCACTCCCAGCTGGCCCAGTTTGTGCATGAGGTCCAGAGGAGCCCCTTTGGCAAGGACACCCGGCTTGTCTCCCTCGGCTCTCGGCAGGTAGACAGAGGCAGGGCGCCTCGGCCCTAGTGCCATCTGCTCCCTTCCGTGTGCCTTCGTCTTCCTCTTCCAGGCAGGCTGAGGAAAGGGAGGATAACCTCTTCCCTGGCCTTGCTGACCCTTGGAAGGAAAGGGGGGAGGGCTGGTTTGCGAGGCTCGGGGGGGAGGAGGAGGGAGGCTGCTGTGTATCATTCAGCCGGCACACAATTTCTTTAACTCTTGCTCCTCTGTCTCATAGAATCTTTGTATAAACCAAGACGTGAAAAGCCTGGGTTCTGTGCAGCTGATTAACGACCGCTGTATGGAGCTACAGAGGAGCAGACACGGTAGCCACCTGCCCCTTGAGCTGAAGGAGCAGCCTCTGGGACCATCTGTGGCCGCGGGCAGTACTGGGAGTGAAGCGTGGGGGGGGGGGGGGGGGCCCGCATGGGCCAGCTCAGTACAGACATGGTTTCTTCCTAAAGAGCCTCTCGTTGGGAAAAGGAGTTTTTGCTTTCTGGGTCAGTGTTAATTCTGAAATCCGGGTTTTGAACAGAGTAAAATACCAGAGTGTTATGATGAGACCAGAATAAATAGTTCATGTAAAGGTTTTGTAGACATGACCTTAGCGGCCTGCTCCTGGCCACAGGACAGTTACCGTTCTTTCTGCCTTTGCCCCCGTGCTGCCACCCGCAGAGAGCAAGAGCCAAGCTGAGGACCAGGAACCCAAGAGGAGAAGGCAGGCACCCCGGGCTGCCTGTCCCTTCTATGGCCATAGGCACCTGCAGCTCTTCCAGGACCAGGTGCTGCTGGAGGTGAAGGACATCGAGCAGCTGGTGGCCCTGGGGAAGGAGGCTGGTGCCTGTCCCTATTATGGGAGCCGGTTTGCCATTCCAGCTGCCCAGGTGAAGACCAAGGAGGGCTGGCCAGTAGCAGCCTAGGCCGTGAGGGAATTCCTTACTCCTCTTAGTTTGGGAAGGTGTCACTGGCCATGGTTGGACTGACAGACACACTGCACACTGATGACACGTAACCCCCCCTCTCCTAGGGCATCCGGTCGCAAGAGGCCCCAGGTCCCTTGGTGGCTGTTCTGCAGGGACTGTGGCATTATGGGGGTCAGATCCAGGAGAAGGTGTGCATTCCTAGTTGAAACTACAGTGAGAGATGCCGGGGCAGACACCGAGAGGAATGGGAGCTACAGAACATAAATCTATTTCCAAATGGCTGTTCTGAGTGACTGTCCTAACTGTATAGTTATTGCAGCATTTGAGAGGACTGTTTTCTAGACTGGCCATATGGAGTATTATTATTAAACAGAAAAGCTGCCAATTTAACAGGTCAAAAATTATACTGTTATTTGGTTGTTATGATTTAACATTTCTTGCTACTTCATTTGAGTGACTTTTGGAAATAGGATAGTATTTGTAGAGAATTCCATATAATCAAGAAAAGGTTAAAGTCGGTTTTAAAAGTTGCAGGAACTGTGTTAGTAATAATTTCATGTGGCAGTAATTGCTCATCAGGCTATTTCCCTGGATTGCATGTATGGTCCTGGGAGCAATGCAGCAGCCCTCCCAGCCCTCACGTCCTTCCCAGGCCTGCTGCAGCGAGGGTTAGCGCTGTAGACACTGTGTGCCAGTGCAGTCAGATGGCCTGAAATTCTTTTTCTTTTTTTTATATATATATTATTGATTTTTTTATAGAGAGGAAGTGAGAGGGATAGAGAGTTAGAAGCATCGATCAGCTGGGCCCCCCCCCCCCCCCCCCCCAGGGGATGTGCCCGCAACCAAGGTACGTGCCCTTGACCAGAATTGAACCTGGGACCCTTCAGTCCGAAGGCTGATGCTGTATCCACTGAGTCAAACTGGTTTCAGCCTGAAATTCTTATGGTCTTGACTTTTTAAGGCCCTTTTCACCTCATTTTTGCTTTTATGATATCCCGTTGAGGTAGCTAAGGCAGCTACTTTCCATATTCTACACCTGGGGACACGGGTCCAGAAAGGTTAAATAGTTTATCTGTTTCTCACAGTAGGTGAGTAATGGAACCATATTAAAACCTGGGTCTTAAGTTTCCAATTTTCTGGATTTTTACTTTGTTTATCAGTATTCTTTTAACTGGAAAAACATAACACCAGAGCCACTAAAAAAATGTACAGAATGTTTTTATTTTTGTTATCCAAACCCATTTCTTAACCCTGTTTTGACAGTTTATCAAGCCCATTTGCAGATGAGGAAAACAAGGCTTACGGAGGCTAAATGACTTTCCCAGAATCACACAGCTAGGCGGTGACAGCTCCTGGACCAGAGCCCTGGGCTGCCTTCTGCTATGCTAGCGGTTTTCACCATTTATTTATTTTTTTAAGGAAACTTGGGTGCCTCAGGAGCTACCTTGGGGGAATGGACAAGGCTAAGCTACTGGGGTTTCCCTCCCCATAACCCCACCCTTGGTCTAGTCAAAAGTCAGATCAGCTTTACTTTTGTTTCATATATTTGATGTTCCACATAAAACTTTTGAGGAAAGAGTCTGTTGCTAAAAGCACAGTACGATGCCATCCTTTCCCTACACCTGTTCTGGGCAGGAAATAAAACCATTCACACGGAACTTAGGGCAGGCTGGTGACCCTGCTCCAGGAGGGAGTCCCGCCCACTCAGGTGGCCCGTCTCCTCCCAGGTGGTGGTGCTGCCCTACCAGATGCTGCTGCACACGGCCACCCGGCAGGCCGCGGGGATCCGGCTGCAGGGCCAGGTCGTGATCATCGACGAGGCGCACAACCTGATTGACACCATCACAGGCATCCACAGTACGGAGGTCAGTGGATCCCAGGTAGGTCAGCCTCTCCCTCCTGGAGCCAGGGTCCATCATGGGGCAAAGGACCATTTCCCCAACTGCCTGGACCTGGGATTCCTCCATAAATGGCGCTTGGTAGTGGTGCACTGCGTCAAGGCGGCAGCCTCGCGAGAGGCGACTGCTTTCTGGCGGATCTCAGAACTGGGATCTAGCTCAGGCAGATCTAGAAGGCACTCTAGCTGGTGCCTTCGTCTTCACCGGCCTGTGTTGTCCTGAGTCCCTCCAGCCCAGGATGCTACTAACCACTCCAGGATCCAGGATAATGGCTTGAGAGAAGCAGGGTCCTCATGTGGTTAGATGATAACTGCTGTGAGAGGATTTAACTGAAGAATGCCATGCACTGTAGGAGTTACCTCTGATGTTCACGTCTACTCTACATTGGGCTGGTATTCCTGTTTTATACACTGAGAACTCCAAGATCAGGGAGGTTTAGGCAGTGCCTAAGGTCACATGGCTAGTAAGTGGGAAACTGGGATTTGACCACTGGTTTCTGACTCTGAAACCCACATGACATTCCACCTCTACTGACCAATGCCGGGGTTGACCTTAGGCCAGGACATGATGGTTACCTTGAACTATCACTCTTAGTAGGCAACGCCTTTTCCCAGCCCAGTAAACACTAGAGTGGGCTTCATTACCGGAGATTCAGCCTCTTGCTTTTTCCCTGGCACAGAGTGGCCCCTGCAGCAGAACCTGCCTGCCTTCTCTCTCTCTCAGGTCCCACCAGCCCACGGGCCTCTAAACCAGCCCCACTCTCCTCATCTTTATTGCCTCTTATGTGTCCTGGGCTGACATTTTCTAGCCACTGTCTAAACCAGTGGTCGCCAGATTGTGGCTCGTGAGCCACATGAGGCTCTTTGGCCCCTTGAGTGTGGCTCTTCCACAAAATACCATGTGCGAGTGCGCAATGCGATGAAAACTTCGTGGCCCATGCGCAGAAGTCGGTTTTCAGCTCTCAAAAGAAAATTTCATTCATTGTACTGTTGATATTTAGTTCTGTTGACTAATGAGTTTGCTGACCACTGATCTAGACAATTGGCACAGCCCTATGCCACTTGCCCAGACCCTAGTCTGCCTTCATGCCCATTTCTTCTCTCCTCAGCTCTGCCAGGCACATTCCCAGTTGCTCCAGTACATGGAACGATACAGGTGAGACACTACCCCCAGAGGGGAAGGGAAAATCCCTCTCAGCCTCAGCACCCCTAAGCCAGCCTCTGAGAGGGGGCATTAGGTCGGCATCTTGGCGGGGTGGCCTAGCGTGCTGCTGTCTCCTGTGTGTGTGCACAGGGGTGCTCAGGTCACAACATCTGGCTCTGAAGGCTGTGGGCCACAGCCAGCCTGTTCTTCTGGGGGAGTATTTGTAGCTTGTGGCCCAGTTAGAAAGACACCAGCCAGAAAGGCCTCAGCTTGGGGCACTAGAAGGGAAGGTGCTGTTGGAGTAACCCACTTGCTATCTATCGGTTTGTCCTTAGGAAGCGTTTGAAGGCCAAGAACCTGATGTACATCAAGCAGATCCTGTACCTGTTGGAGAAGTTTGTGGCTGTGCTGGGGGGTAAGGAGCCCTGCCCCGTGCCGCCTAACTCCCTCCTGCTCCGCTCGTAGGACTCGGCTCCCTGGCTGTCAGGACGTCTAACTTACCACCGTAGTAGATCTTTTTTAGGGCCCTGGTGTATTTCACTGTTCTGGGGTAGCAATAGCACTACAATACAGTGAATGACGCTTTACATAATATGATAGCAGCTTGAGTGCTGCTGTGAGGATGGCAGCAGGGGTGTGTTGACTCTCAATGACACGCGTGAATGAAGCTAGAGCCTCTGGTTGCTGAGCCCATTGAGAGGAACTAGAACCCACTGGATCCAGGTCCCAAGCACCTTTCCAGCATTCTGTGCAGCACCCCTGTCCTTCCCTGGGGATCCTTTTGAATGCTTTCATGGAAGCGGAAGTCCAGCGTGGTGGTTCTGAGGGGATTTTGTCTCATGTTGGTGCTCTTGGCTTCCATCGCTGCCTTGCCTCTGTCATGGAGCAGCCGGACGTGTCCTGTTGGCCTGCCTAAACTGGGGTGGCTGCTCTGGCCCTGCCGCCCTGGGAAAAGATTCTGGAGGCTTTGGGCTCCATATCACTTGTGGGTCAGACTTTGAGGCTTCCTGGAACATCTGTCCTCAGTGGGGGGTCTATGGGTATTAAAAATAGCAAAAAGCCGGTTCACAGACAAATGTTCTTATTTGCCTGTGGAGTGAGAAGTTTGGGCCAGAGGATTACCATCTTGACCTGTTTAAATTCTCTTTTAGGGAACATTAAACAAAATCCCAATACACAGAGCCTCTCACACACAGGTAAGAGGGTGGCCCTCATGGGCCCAGGACTGGTCTGAGCCAGTTCTGAGCTTCCCTCTGGGACCCCAATACCATGGTCTTCAGGGCAGAACCCAAGGCTCGTTTGTTTACCCTTAGGGACAGAGCTGAAGACCATCAATGACTTTCTCTTTCAGAGCCAGATCGACAACATCAACTTGTTCAAGGTAGAGGTTTTACTGGTTCATGTTAGCTCATCAGATCTTATCCTTACCCCCACCTGTGGCAGAACACTGTGCTAACTCTGTGGAAGGAATAGAAAGGAAATTCCTTCTGTCCTCAATCAGTCCAGAGTGCTGAGGATCTACAGCACAGACATGCCATTAACCCTGGGGGGAAAAAAAATGTAACGTCAGTAACAAAACATAATCCAGGACCTAGGGTTGAAGGGTCAGAGAGATTAGGGGGGAAAGATGCCTTTCTTTGTACTTAATAAGCACAACCAGAGATGCCCCGGCCCCCGCTTTACTCCATCTTTCCCCGGGGTGCTGGGTAGAGCTGGAAGTTAATTTCTGAGTGTGATCCTGCTGTTGGGCTGCGGTGAGTGAGGTCACAGCTGGGCCACTCTGCTTGACCTTTCTCTCGTCTTCCCACTCCAGCTGTGGTTTATTGCAGCCTCATGTTTTTGCTTGTTCCAGGCCTACATATTGGTGCTCTCCCCGGGGCCAGTACAGCCACTGCTACCAGACTCACAACCTTAATGATTCTAGTTTACTAACAGTAATGGAGCAATTACTGTGTTTGAGGCAGTGGGCAAGGTTCTGTGATTGTAAAGTAGGCTGTGCCATCGCCATTCTAGAGCAAAGGAAGCCAAGGCTCAACGAGGTCACCATAGGAGGACGCCACGCACCAGCCACACAAACGGTGCATGCCGCGCCAGTGCGAGCCCAGCCGCACAGACTCAAGACCCTGCTTGCTTTCATAGTGCCTTTCCTTTTCAAACCAGCTGCCCTGACTTCCCTGGATTGGCCATGGTGACTGCCCTGACCCCCTGCAGACAGGCTGGCAATCCTGCCATCTTGGAGTCCTTTCTCCCATTGTGCCCCGTAGCCTGGAATAGCTGTTGAATTTACCCCACCTTTTCATTTCCACAGCTGCTACTTCAGAGCAGTCTTCTCCTTTGCCTTCTTTCTGGTCTTCTTGATTTCATTCTGTCTCCCTTCTAATAACGTTTACAAACTGTAGTCTAGTGAATCTTAATGGGAAGATACCACTCTTTTGAGAATTCTTTAAAGGCTCCAAAGTCATCGTCTTGCATTCCAGCCTGCACGCCAACCTAACTGCACTCCAGGTGTCCCTTGAACAAGTCCCAGGCTTTACCTCCTTTGTGCCTTGGCTCATAGGATTGTTTTAAGACTAACTCTTAATCCCTCAAGATGTAGCTTAGGTGCCGTCATGGTGAAGGAAAGCAGAGGGACACGGCCATCACACAGCACCTTAAGGAGGGCTGGAGCCATGCAGACTGGTGAAGGCCGTGCCTGAGGCCTGGCAGGGCCCTCTCGTAGAGAGCCCTGTGTGGTGTGGGACAGTGGGGGCAGCGTGACTTCAGAAAGGAGGGTGACCCGGTCGGCCTCAGGAGGCGTTGGGCTCCCTCGGAGATGGTGGTGACTCATGCTCCCGGGGTTTTGGAGAGTGGTTATCTGCTTCTGTTTCCCATATGCCTACAGCGGCTTTGGTCTTGCAGGTGCGGCGCTACTGTGAAAAGAGCATGGTCAGCAGAAAGGTACGGCTGCCCTGCCCTGGGGCCTGGGTGGGGTCCAGCTGCACCCCTGCTTGCTGCCCTCACAGAGCCTCTCTCTCCTGCCCTGTGGAAGCTCAGAGGCACCCTCATCTCTATTGTTCTCACTGGGGAGCATCCTTGGCCGGGTTGGAGAGGGGCTGCCAAGATTCCTGGTGTTGGGGTTGGTGGGAGGGTGGGTGTTGGTTGAGATGCAGATGAGAGATGGAAGCCTTCTGTCCACCGTGGCCTCCCTCACTGCTGCCCTCATTTGTCTCTGCGGTTCTTATTCCTGTTCAGCTCTTTGGCTTCACAGAAAGGTATGGGGCAGTCCTCGCACCCCCCAGGGAGCAGCCTAGACTGGCGGGGTTCCAGCACTTCCTACAGAGCCTGCAGCCCGGGGTGACTGAGGGTGAGTCAGGAGGCGGGGCTGGGTTGCAGGCCCTGGGCAGGAATGGTCCTCACACGTGGACCCTCCCCAGAGAACCCATTAGTCCAACTACAAGAAGGCTCTCTGCTCTAGCCTGTGGTCCCAGACTCTCCCTTCCGCTCTGCAGCTCCCACAGCCCCTGTGGAAGAGGGGGAGGCCAGGGTGCCTCGGCCTGCTTCCCCGCTGATGCACATCGAAGGCTTCCTGGAAGCTCTCACTACTGCCAACCAGGACGGCAGGGTCATGCTGAGCCGCCAAGGTAATCCGAGCTGAAGGCCAGAGCATGAAAGGGCCTTTACTTCCATCCCAGCACCTCCGGGGTCAGGATGAAGAAATGTGATGCCAGCCTCCTGTGACCTGGGCAGGCAGTGGGGGTAGTGAGGAGGGAAGCAGGAGTGTGGGATGGTCAGTTGTCTCAGGCAAGGATGTGAGAGGAGCCATGTAGCCTAGTGGTTAAGGTAACATGGGCTTTAGCTTGAGCCTTGGTTCCATCACCTACAAGCTGTGTGTCTTGGACCAGTTTCTTTGTCTCTGAGCCGCATTTTCCTCATGTGAAAGGGTGCTAATAGTACTTACCTCATGGTTGTGCTGCAGATTAAGTGGGATTTGATTTAAAGATAAAGTGATTATCTCTCGTGCCTCCTACACGGACCCAGCTGGGGGTCCCCTCTGCCTCGGAGGGTAGAAGTGTTTGTTGGGCCTGCACCTGCCCCTTCCAATGTAGACCTTTTCTTTGTGGTTTTATTAGGCAGCCTCAGTCAGAGCAGCCTGAAATTCTTGCTACTGAATCCAGCAGTGCCTTTTGCCCAGGTGGTGAAGGAATGCCGGGCAGTCGTCATTGCGGGGGGCACCATGCAGCCGGTAAGGACATCAGATCCAGACTCCTGTGCCTGGGTATGGATGGGACAGTGACAGGAATGATGCATAGTCAGGCCTTTTCACCTCATCCCTTGGGTTCCCAAACCAGAAAGTGCTTGGCTTGAACAGGCCAAACCATGTCCACCAGGTGGCACTGCTGTGCTGTCTCACTGCTGGGCCTTGTAGGCTTGGGGATGGGCCTTACCACTGCTCCTGTGTGCCTGAAGCGGTGGGATCACATTTCTCCTGAGAAAGTCCTGTTACGAGTTTCTTCCTCACACTTAGTGCCTTAGTGCCACTTCCTTCCTGTACCCGCCATAGATATGACCTTCCCTCTTATAAATTCAAATGTATTTTTAGAAAAGTATATTTTCATTGTAGAAATCACAGATAAGCAAAAACAGGAAGAAGGGTCATAATTTCACTAGCAAAAGATTCATTCGGTGCATATCATTATAGTTGTATGCATAATTTCTACAAATATACCTACATTAGAGGCCGATGCACGAAGATTTGTGCAAGAATGGTCCTTCCTTCCCCTGGCTGCTGGCTCCGCCTTTGCTCCAGCCCGGAGCCACTTTTCTGCCTTTGCTCCCCAGAACCACCTCTCCGCCTTCCCACACTGCCCAGATGAAGCAGCTGGGGCAGTGTGAAATGCCTGCGTCGTCGCTATGGTGACGACACAAGTGTCCCACCCCCTGCCACTCAGAACCTGTGTATGCAAATTAACCTGCCAACTTTGTTGGGTTAATTTGTAAACTCCTGATTGGCTGGTGGGTGTCACAAAGGTATGGTAAATTTGCATCTTTTTTATTAGAGTAGATATTTTTAAAACAAAAATATGGCATTATCTGTAAATGCGGTTGTTATAATTTGCTTTTTCTCACTCAGCAACAGAACGTTATCCGTATTTTTCTTGTCAGTAAACAAGCATTTATTCCACCATCTTTGGCTATAACATGAATGCATTATATTTTATATAACCACTTTTTTTTAGGTATTTAGGTGATTTCTAGTTTTTCTATAGAAAACAAAGAATTTAAACAGTAGAGTGGTAAATGTAACCAGTCCCTACGTATTGGTTATTTCCTTAGGAGACGTCCTAGAATAGCGGTCGCTAACTGGTAGTCTGTGGACCACTGGTGGTCTGTGAGGCCTGAAAGGTGGCAAACGCTGTCCTAGAACAGGACTTCCTACATGAAAAGCTACTCAGCAGCTGCCTGTCAGATTGCCCCTGTAGCTTTACTCTTTTCCATTCTTTCATGTGTCTAGACCTGTATGTTTTTTTCATTCGTGTGTTAAAATAATTGGTAGTCATTATAGCTCAATGCTCAAATCCATTGTGGCCTGTGGGAACCTCCCTGCTGCTACTGGTCCTTGTGATGTGGCTTCCTCAGTCTTAGGATGCTTTCTTGCACAACAAAACACCCCAGACTACCTGGTGCTTTCTTTACCCCAGATCTGGAATCATTCATTTCTCCAAGGCGCCCTAGTTTCTTTTGTTGGGGATGGGTACTTAGAAACCAAGATTTGGGTGCTATGCGCGTGCAGTGTTTGTGGATGATTATTGTTTATGGATCTTTTCAGTACCGACCTGGGAAATATGTTTTCAGACATCATGAGACCATATTGATATTTCTGATTCAAAAATCAATCAATTTATTTGACCTTATGCTCTATCTCATTTCTTAAGCTAAACTTGTTTTTTTATCCTATACTAGAGGCCCAATGCACGAATTGGTGCATGGGATGGGTCTGGCTGACTCACCTTGATCAGGGCCAATCATGGCCAGGCCAGCTGGGAGGAGAGACTGCAGGCAATTGGCCAGCAAGCCCTACCCCAAATAGGGGTAGGGAGGCCAATTGGGGGTCAGCGGCCAGGGGAGGGGCCATGGGAATGGGAGGTTGGCTGTCTGGCTCTGCCCCGGATTAAAGTTGGGGGCGGGGGGTATTGATTGGGGACAGGGCTCTCCAGGGGGAGGGGCTGCAGGAGGTTGGCCAGCCAGCCCACCTCCTATTGGTGGGGCAGGGCTGGCCAGGGGGAGGAGCTGGAGGCCAATGGGGTGGGGCAGGCAATTGTAGCTGGACTGGCTGGGAGAAGGGCTGAGTGGGTGTTGGCTAGCTGCCCCACCCTTGATTGGGGTGGGAGAGGCCAATCAGGGGCGGGGCCGACCGGGAGGAGGGGCCAAGGGAGGTTGGCTGCAGCCCCACCTGTACTCCCCCAATCTGGCTTGTTTGCTGGCCACAGTGGGCATCATAGCAGCTGGTCTTCCGGTTATTATGGCATTCCAGTCGCTGGCTTTTTATATATCTATTAGAGGCCGCGGGGAGGCGGGGGGTGTCCCTTCAGCCTGGTCTTTCCCTTCTCACAGTCCAAGAGCCCTCAAGGGATGTCCTACTGACAGCTTAGGGGAGCCGCCTAAGCCACAGTCTGGCCTCCCTCTGTGATCAGGGGAACTGAGCTGATCAGGGGAAGGCGCAGATCATATCAACATCACCACCACCACCACCACCCCCCCCCCCCCCCCCCACCCGCTGCTGACCATGACAGCTGCGAGGCCTGAGCCCTGGGCCTCGCAGCTGCCAGGGCTCAAGGCTGCCTGAGCCCAGGCCTCCACTCAAGGCTAAAAAGTTTCAATTAGACAAGATAAATGAATCCAAAAAAAAAATGGCAGCAGCCATGGAGCTGGAGAGAGCAGGAGGCTTGGGTTTCCTCTGGCAATGGAGGAAGCCAAGCTTCCTGGCTGGCCCTGGCCTCTGCTCAAGGCTACAAAGTTTCAATTATAGAAGATAAATAAATCCCAGATACCAGGGCCTACACTTGGGTCACGAGGGGACATGGCTAGCCTACAAACCACCACAGGCCCCTTGCCCAGGCCGCCCCACGCCCCAAGGGAACCCGCACTCTGATCCAGGACACCCTTCAGAGCAAACCCGCTGGCCCCCACCCATGCATCAGGCCTCTATCCTATCTAATAAAAGAGTAATATGCAGATTGACCATCATTCCAACACACAAGATGGCTGCCCCCATGTGGTCAAAGATCCTGCCCTCATGTGGACACAAAATGGCCACCACAAGATGGCCAGCAGGGAGGGCAGTTGGGAGGGAACAGGCCTGCAAGGGAGGGCAGTTAGGGATGACCAGGGCTGCAGGGGAGGGCAGTTGGAGGTGACCAGGCCAGCAGTGGAAGGAAGTTGGAAGAGACCAGGCCTGCAAGGGAGGGCATTGTGGGTGATCAGGCCAGCAGGGGAGGGCTGGTCTATCCTTCTACTATTTCATGATAAATTTTCTTTTTTCCCCCAAAATAAGCAGATGGCTTTTTTCCTTTCCTTTTTTTTCTTAACGTCAAAGGTGGCATGCTCAGTTTCTGTTCACCAGTATGCTCTGGTGATCACTCCGTATCAGCACACAGGCACGGTCTGCGTTCCTTTCGTTGGCTGTGCAGGTTACTGTTGGGTGGATGCAGCATAGCGCAGTTGACCAGTCCCTCTGGGAAGGCAGTCTAGCCCTCATAAACAACTTCACAAGAAATATCCTGTGCGTGTGTTAATTGGTTTGTTGAGCTGTATCTTCTTGGGAGACTACTAGATATGGGATTGCTAGATTAGAAAATCTAAATATATCTGATTTGTTAAATATTGTCCCATTCCCCGCTGGCTGCGGAGGTACTGTGCTGTATTCCATCTGCAGTATATACACATGCCTGTTTCTCCAGAGTGGTCAAACTTTTGGATTTTTGCCAATTTGATAGGTAAAAAACTTGAATGGAGCTTTTAAAAATACAAAAGCATAGTCCTCGCACTAGAGATTCTTATTCAATAGTTTAGGCTGGGCCCTGGCCATGTGAATATATATTTTTAAGTTCCCACTGGTGATTTTGTTGCATATGCGGGGCTGAGAGCCACTGTGCCAAATTTCCTTTGCTATTCCCACAAGTAGTTAAATGGGACTGCCAGCATTGGACACCATATAATTCTTTTATCCTTTTCGCTAATCTGTTATCAGCTTTTCTTTTTACTTCTCTGTTCTTATGTACTTGCCGCTCGCTTCCTCACCTAGACTTCTGTCTTTCCAAGCGATTCTCTCTTCCTCTCTCTATTAAGGCCCCTGCCTGCTCAGACCTGAGGCCCTGTCCCTGGACCTCAGGGAGGTCACAGCGCCTTCACGTTGTGGTCCACAGGTTTCTGACTTTCGGGAGCAGCTGCTGGCATGTGCTGGGGTGGAAACCGAGCGCCTGGTGGAGTTTTCCTGTGGTGAGGATCCATGTCCAGGGTGGAACAGGCCGCGTTGTCATAGTTGAACCATATGCTGTTAGCAGGCGTAAGGGGCTGAGGAGACACGGGATGGACATCTCATCCTTTGCCCGCTCTCTCTGAGCTCGCCATCTCTGTGCTCTCGTGCTCTGTGCCCCCTCTGTCCACCTGGGAGAGTTCTGAGCATTGCTGCTGTAGTGTGGAAATAGGTGGGTGGGTAAGTGATATAAACAGCTACTCCTAGTCTGGAAAGCAAGGGTTGGGCAGTGCTCTTTCTGGACTCAACCTCAGCCTCTCTCTGGGTCTCCCCAGGTCACGTGATCCCTCCAGACAACATCCTACCCCTCGTCATCTGCAGTGGGCCCTCTAACCAGCAGTTGGAATTCACATACCTGAAAAGAGAGCTGCCTCAGATGGTTAGTACCAGCCATCCTGCCTCACCTTGCCTTTGCTAGGGCAGGAGAGAGACTTCTGGGGTGGGGACACTCTGGCTAATCCCAAGTGTTCAAGCATTGTGCAACTTAGTCCTGGTCCTCATCACAGCTGGCACGGGAGGAATAGTGGCACAGGATGAGTAGTGTCTAGGTGCTTATCAGGAAGGTCTGAGCTTCCCCGAGCCCCTCACCTCTGACGCTGCTAAATAACTTTTTTTGTCCTGGCCGGTGTGGCTCGGTTGGAGCATCAACCCGTGTGCCAAAGGGTCTTGGGTTTGAATCCCAGTCAGGGCACATACCCAGGTTTCGGGTTCAATCCCCAGTGGGGGCATGTATGGGAGGCAATCAATCAATGTTTCTCTCTCTCTCTCCCCTTCTCTAAAATCAATGAAAGGTATGTCCTTGGGTGAGGATTTTTTAAAATAGTTTTCTTGACACCTCCAGCCATCTCTTTAGGATGAAGCTCATGAGAAACCATTTCCTTCTGCCATTGGGTTATATCGAGCCCTGCCAGCAGGGATGCCAGTGCTGGGGGCACTTCTCTAGTGGCATGCCTGGGGTTTCCAGTGCCCGGTTTGACATAATCTCCAGTTGCCCACAGGGGGGGAGGGCGGACCTGGCACACACCAATAACTGGTGTAGTTCCTTGTGCTAGGGCTGCGGTGTGTCAGATGCTGCTCGTTACCAGGAGCAGCCGTTGAGTGTATTTGGAGGGAGGGTGGCACAGTCCAATTTGTGATTCCCAGGCAGGGGGCACCACCTGGCCATAGCCCTCCCTGACCGCACTCACCCTGAGTCTCTGTACTTGGTTCTGAGCCCTAAGGTTCGGAGCCTCTCTGGGTGTGCCTTCAGGAGTGGCCCCATGGAGGGCCCCTTGTCTCTCTTTCTCAGATGGACGAGACAGGTCGCATCCTCTGTAACTTGTGCAACGTGGTGCCTGGAGGGGTGATCTGTTTCTTCCCCTCCTATGAGTACCAACGCCAGGTCCATGCCCACTGGGATAAGAGTGGCCTGCTGGCCCGCCTGGCTGTCAGGAAAAAGGTGAGTGATCCCTCAGCTGGACCTTCCACTCTGGGGACGGTGTCCCAGAATTCCCGTGGGATTTCTCCTGCACATCAGACTGGTTGGTTGGGCCTCCCATATGAGGGCGTCTCCCACCACTTCTAATCCCTGGTCCCTGCCCTGAGGAGTCCCCAAAGCACAGGCTGGAAAACAAGATCTGGAGCAGACCTGTGAGCCAGGCATCCTGAAACCCTGTTCTGGGAGATGTCTTTACTTTCAGATATTTCAGGAACCCAAGCGAGCAAACCAGGTGGAACAGGTGCTGGCAGAGTATTCCAGGTGCATTCAGGTGAGAGCTGGAACCCAGGCCTTGGGTCCAGACCTGTGGGTTGGCGGCTGAAAACCTGTGGATGGCGTCCCAGCTTTGGGCTGTTCCTGCAGTGCTGTGGCCAGGCAGGAGGCATGGTGACCGGGGCCCTGTTGCTCTCGGTGGTCGGAGGAAAGATGAGTGAAGGCATCAACTTCTCTGATGATCTCGGGCGGTAAGTAGTGGGCTTCCCATCTCCCAGGACTCTGATGCCCACCCCCTCACTCCAAGCAGCCCTCCCTCCCCCTGTAATCTGCTGCCATCTGAGTTTGCACCCAGCTGCGTAGGAAGTGATTCGCAGCTTTGGGTGTGGTCCTTTGAGGCCAGGTGGAAAATTAGGCAGATGTAATTTTATCAGAACTCAATTCCCTGGCCTAGATGGACTCTGGCCTAGAGGATCTCTTAGCTGAAAAACCCCTTTCCAGGCGGTATAGGTGGGGAGGGAGAGGGGGAGCCACTGAGCACAGCTTGAGAACGGGAGTGGTAGGCTCAGCAGCCGTCATGTGGGTGAGGACCCGGCCCTGCCTCCTGGGCCCTGTGAACCCCAGGTGCCTTTGGCTCTTGTGCGCCTCCACTCAGGTGTGTGGTTATGGTGGGCCTGCCCTACCCCAACATCAAGTCTCCAGAGCTCCAAGAGAAAATGGCCTACCTGGACCAGACCCTTGTGAGTATCTTCCGGGTCTGGAGGATGAGAGGGTGGGGGGAGGGAGCTCTGTAGCCTCTAGAGTAGGGGTGTCGAACTCAATCAGAGAAGGGGCCAAAATCTAAAATCCAGCCTAAATCGCGGGCCGAATGGTTTACTGAACAGTCATAAACTGTCATTGTGATGGAAACGCAGCGGAGTGCAGTGATGACAGCGCGGTGCGGGCCACATTGCAAGGCCTGGCGGGACGGATTTGGCCCGCGGGCCTTGTGTTTGACACATGTGCTCTAGAGCTAAGATATGATGTCACTTCCCCACTGCCCCTGCTGTGTGTTCTGGGGGGAGTGGCAGCATCCTCCATACCCTCTTGAGCTTCTCATGACATCATCCATTGTATCAGCTGTTGCCATTGTGCCCGTGTAGCTGTCTTGCTTAGAACCTGGCAGTGCCCTTTTCTCAGAACACTAGGCAGAGGACAAGAAACAGTTCTGATAGATCATCATCTTGTGCTTCCCAGCCCCGGACCCCAGGTCAGATCCCCCCAGGAAAGGCTTTGGTGGAGAATCTATGTATGAAGGCTGTCAACCAATCAATAGGTAAGCCGGGGACTGGCCTTGGATGAAGAGTTGGGGAGGGAAGGATGAAGAGTGAGGTGGCAGGATGGGATTTTACTTACCATCTCTCTAGTCTGAGGTCTGAGGAGGAGAAAGGGACACAGAGTGTACTGTCGGTAGGTAGGTTTAATCAGAGCCCGAACCTGTCCCATCCAGGGAGGGCCATCAGGCACCAGAAGGATTTTGCCAGCATAGTGCTCCTGGACCAGCGGTATGCCCGCCCACCTATCCTGGCAAAGCTGCCAGCCTGGATCCGAGACCGGGTGGAGGTCAAAGCCACCTTTGGCCCTGCCTTTGCTGCTTTGCGGAAGGTCAGTCCTACCTTTGTCTTTTCCTTCCTGAGGACATTCCCACCAAGATCCCCACCTAGTGTTTCACTGTCTTTCCCTGTCTCCCCAGTTTCATCACAAGAAGTCTGGCCTTTCCTGAGGGATGGCCGCACCCATCTGGAGTGCAGACCAGCCCCTTCTGGAATCCCTGGTTGCCAGTAGGCGAAAATTAGGTCGATCCTGAACAAGCAGTCGCTCCTGGCCACCCAGGGCAGTTCCCCTCCCTGAAATTGGTCTTTCTTGCTGTTCACACATCCAGTTGAGCCCCCCTCCCTCGGCCAGCTTCCAGGGGCAGCTGTGGAAGCTGCACCTTCCACTTCAGTGTCTGCGCGTGCTCGTTTCTCAGCACCCTTTTCTCAGCGGCAAGATGGAGCAGGCCTCTCCCGCCTCTCCCTTTTCTTCCCTTTTAGCTAAAATTAGTGTTCTAAACCTTTGCTTTTCCCTCTAAATTAAGAATATTCCCCATTTCCGGCCCCTGGTTCTGGGCTCTTCTGCCCTCTGGCTTCTGGTTACTTTGACCCACTGCCACCTGGGGGTTAAGCACCCTCTATGACAGGTCGGGCACTGAAGTCATTTGGAAGTGGGAGCAGAGCCCTGTGTGATGCTCCCCGCCTGCTGGCCCTAACCTGTCTGTCCCACAGCCTCCACAGCATGCTGCCTCCTGGGCTGGTTCCAGGTCCCTCTTGCCACTTGAGCAAACTCCAAGATACTTCTTCCCCTGGCATCAGCAATTACACCAAGGGCCATTAGGCTCTCAGCAGGACTATTTTTACCCTCGACGTTTTTTTTTTTCTCCTGTGTGAAAATATCCCTCTCTCCATCCGCAACAGCTGCCCTGTTGACTGCACCTCCCTTCCCTGGCCCCAGAGAAAGGGGGCTTGGTCCACTCGCACCTTGTCCCATTGCCCGAGACCAGGGGGAGCAGGGCAGGCCCTGGTTCGGAGATGTTTGCATTCTGCACAGCTGTAGTTCCTTAATTAAAAGTGCACTGTTGGTTGATGCTGTTATATTTCTTTATTGATCTGTGTACTGCTGTATCTGTCTCAGGGAATAGAACATGCTAGTGAAGGAGGTAGGTAGAGCACAAGCAGAAAACAAAGGCCCCCTCCCACCACCCTCAGAAGCCAGCCTCCCCGCTCCTTGAAGATGGTCCAGGCACAGACCTGGGCAGTCCTCTGTGATCCCCATCCTTCCAGGGCAGCAGGGGCTGAGAGGCCCAGGGCCAAGGAGCCCATCCCAGCTGTTTCCATGTGAGGGCAAGAGCCTCAGCCTGATTTGGTGAGAAGGACTGCTGAGCCCCTAGGATTCCCAGTCCTCCTCGTCCTCCTCTCCAGGTGGCTGCTGTGGGGGTGGCAGAGGCGGGATGGAGTCTGACATTCGGGCAAAGGCTCCTCCTGGCCCCTCGCTGGCCTCGGCCCCAGGTCCTTTCCCAGAGATGCCTGGAAGGGAAAAGGTGAAAAGAGAGGGTGGGTTGTTTGGGGATCCTAGCCCCTAAGGTCTTAGAAACAGGAAGAAAAAGGCAGAATGTGTATGACACACCCCAACCCCTGGCCTTGGGAAGCAGCAGTGCTCTGTCCTACCTTTGCGCCTCATGACCAGCTTGTTAAAGAGATCCGACATCAGGTCCCCGCCATGGCCTGTGGCTCTCACTGCAACAGGAAAACCACGGGGGGGAGGGGGAGGGACCAATGTGAAGCCTGTTCCTGGTGATAACCTCAGGGTTTAGTCACATTTGTCCTCTTTTCCTTCATGACTGACACACCCCAGCCCTCCACAGCCAACATGTCACCAACAGCTCTTGGATCCAGCACCAGGGCGCTGATGAGAAAATGGGTAACATTTGAGTAACACTGTCACGGCCACCCTGTGAGACGGCATGAATAAGCAGCCCCACAGTATGGATGAGGAAACCAGCTCAGAGATGTTGGACAATTTGCCTGGGTCACAGTGCAAAGCTCAGAAGCAAAGCCAGGACTCAAGCTCAGGACTGTTGACAACCAGGACACTTGCTTTATGCCCAGGTGTTATATTTATGCAAGTGTCATAGAAGTAATCCGTAGCCCCAAGAGTCCTCTGTCTCTAAAGTATCTCAGGTCCTGGCCGTTTCCTCAGACAACTGGCAGAGGAGATTCTCTCCTGTTTGGGCTGGATGAGGCTGTCCCCTACCCGCTTAAGAGGAAAACAGGCTCCAGGACCCAGCAGGAACCCTCCCCCCGAGGCAAGGATGTTGGGGTGGCCACGCAGGGTTTACAGCAAACACCCTGGGGAACGGGGCAGGCCTTTTGACATGGGAGGCAAGGAGCACCCTATCGGAGTCTGGTGGTGGGTAAAGAGGTGGCTCTTTTCTTAGAGCCCCACTGGAGGGGTGTAGGGTCCCCTCACCTTGCTCCTGCTCCTTCTGTTTCTTCTTCTCCAGCTTGCGCTCCTTGACGCTGCGAAGCTTGGCCTTGCCGATGCCCCCAGCCTGGCGGATAGACTCCAGGAGGGTTGCCCGGCCACTGGAGGGGTCCACTACTTCCTTGGGAGCCCCCTGGACTGGAGCTGGGGGTGGGGGAGGAAGGCTGCTCAGGCAGGGCTAGGCTGAGGGGTAGCCTTGCCCAGCCCACAATTGTAGGGTCCAGAGAAGCCCTCAGCAGCTGGCTGTGCGGAGGGGCTGTTCCTGAAGGGGAACCCAGCTGTGAAGCCTGAGCTCAGGAAGTCCTGGGTCCAGGCACCGGTCCCTCTCCAATCCCCACCCAGCTTAGCTGCCTCCCTGCAGAGGTGGACCCTGGGCATTACTCATGTGCTGAGGATCTATACGTGACACATGCCCACTGCTGCTCCTACCTGAAGGAGACATGCTGCTGTGGTCCTTGGCACCTTGACCTGGAGAGGGCACAGTCTGCGGTGGGGGTGGGGGCGGGGGAGCGCTGGCCAGCACCGCTGGAGCCGGGGGAGGTGGAGGAGGAGGCGGCGGAGGTGGAGGTGCTGTTAGGACCCCATCTTCTAGGTCTGGAACAAGTGAGAAATGTAAGGTGGCTGGGGAAGAAAGTGGCCCAATTCCCATTCGTGGTTCTCACTTACCTGGCTTGAAAGGCTCGGCCACCTCTGTGTGGAAGGCGGGCAGCTCTGGAATGGTGCCAGGGGCAGAGGGGGCAATGCCCGGGCCCAGATCAGCGCTGTACATGAGGTCATCAGCAATGCCTGGTAGGTCGGGCAGGTAGGACGGCACGTCGATCTCTGGTACTTGGCCCAGGTCAGGCACATAGAAGTAGTTCTCTGGAACCTGCAGAATTAGGCGGAGGTATGTGAGATGGGGTGCTGCAGGGGTCATGGGTCCTGCAATTTGACCTTAGGGCAATCAGTGGGGCTCAGGGGGGATAAGGGGCTCCACAGACCTCTTGCCTAGAAAACTCTAGCAGGGCCCCACATTATCAACCACCTATGCCCCCCACCCACCCAAGAATAGTCTACCTGTTGCTCCAGCTGCTCTCTCTTGCTGATTGACAGAGGGGCATCAAACAGCTTCTCCTCTGTCTCCAGCATCACATGGGTCTTAGTTACAGCACCAGCCAGGGGGTCCAGGAAGACATACTTTTTGTACCTGGAGAGGTAAGGTGGAGATGAGGTGATCTATCATCTGTTCCAGGCCCATGGCCCTGACCTAACTTTCCTACTTCATCAGGATCACAATTAGTTTGTACTGTGGATTCCCAAGCCTTACAAGACAAAGCAAACTGTCCTGGCCTTGCAGGCTGCAGACTTCTGCTGCATCTGAGTCTGATGTCCCTGGGGTCTCCCACTAAGCCAGCCAGGGCTCCCACCGCCCCTCTGTAGCCCCCCTTCTGGCCATACAGGTTCTCAGTGGTGTTGAAGAGCAGCAAGGAGCTGACGGAGTTGATGTTGCTGGGAAGACCCCCGAGCCCCTCCTCAGCCTCATCCTCAGGTTCCAACTTGGTGTTCACACACACAGGGAAGTATTTCAGCTTCTCCTGGGGGTGGGCAGAAATGTGACAGGGGGGAGGTGGTTACAGGGCCAGACCAGTGACCTCCACCCCATCCTGCCAGAATCCTCTTGGGGGAAGAACCCTATGCTGGGCCCTTAGTTCCTCCCTGACATCCAGGACTGCCACTTGCCACTGGTCACGCCCTGCAAGCGTGTGAATTGGGGGTGCCCATCAGACCTGCAGGGCCCGCTCATCCAGGGGGCGGTGCTTGCTCTGGATCCTGTGGCGGGGGCGTCTCTGCAGGCCAGAGTCCTGGGCACCCGTGAAGATGGAGCTGTACTCCTGCAGGTGCTCTGGGGCGGGGTACTTGGCACTGGAGAACACCTGTGGACATGGAGAGTCTGACATGTCCTTTCAGAAAAGAACTTCCAGAAAGCCTAGGCTTGGGATGAGGGGATTCTGAGAAGGAAAGCTTGAGGTGCGGCTGGACAGTAATAGTAGGGATGTGGGCAACCTCAGAGGCACAGGGATATGGTAGAGAATGGGTTATCTGTGACGGCCCATCAGCCACAAGGACACATAGCCTACCTTGATGGCCTTCTTGCTGCCCTTGATCTTCTCAATCTTGGCCTGGGCCAAGGAGACCCTCTCCCCAATGGCCTGCAGCTGGCTCCGGCTCAGCTCTACTCGCTGCAAGATCCTGTCACAGAAAAAATAACAAGTTTGAGGTTGCTCCTCAAACCCCTGCAGCCTCCTGCATACCTCCTGCGTCTAACAGCAAAGCTAGAAAAAAAAATGAGACTTAACAAAGGGTCTTAAAAAAAAAGGTTATCTGCTTGTCAGGGTCAATCTTGGAACTCTTCAGCTGACCTCTCAAAGATCATCCAAACTGAAGGGTCTAGAATGCACTGCATTAAGTTTCTCGGAGCTCTGGGTAGGGCTGAGCAATTACCCTGGTGCCTAGACATGCCACCTGAAGGACATTGCTCCCACCTTCCAGAGTTTGCAGCCTCTGGCTGGGGCAAGCAGAGACAGAATCTTCATGACTGACATGGACACAGTCACCCATTTACAGACAAGGAAACCAGAGTTCAGCAAGACTGAATGACAGGCAAAGCTGGACCTAAATTCAAGTCCTAGACCTGCTCACGACTCTTGTAAGTACATCCCCAGTCCTGACCAAGGCTCTCCATGGTCTGACTGCTCATGGGCCTCCTCCCCTTCCTTCCTACTTTAATCAGTTTGCTGCAGCAACACCCGCTGCCCTGGTATTCCCCGAACATTCCAAACTCATTGCATGGCATTTGCATCAAATGGAATGCTGTCCCCCAATATCCACAAACTGGTTCTTTCACTTCACTGCGCCCCTCATGAAGCCTTCCTGACCATAGAATCTGAAAATGCACCCAACTGAAAATGTCACTTCCCAACTCCCACCCACTCTTTCACACAGTGCACTTGACATTGTGTGTCTCTTGCCTGTATGTGCTCGAAGGACTGAGAAATCTGCTTTGTTCCTGGGTAGTCCCAGTGCCTAGGGCAGTGCTGGACCTTTCAGGCCCCTCTGTAGTTCCTGATGACTAACACCAATGTGCCCTAAATGTAAATGCACATGGGTGTTAAAAAACCTCACTTACTCTGTCCCCACGTTACTCGGCAACAGCAAGGGTCTTCTTGCTGCAGCATTAACCCTGGCTCTCGTGTGCCAGTCTATCCCTCCATAGGCTACCCCACCGCCCAGAACACCAGTTCCTGCCCATGACCACCACGTTCCACATTCAGAGCGGCCACATCTTTGTATTCACCCGGCAGGAGTGAGCACATAGTGAGGCAGGAGAAATGAGGCAGAGTTGCAAGTTGAGTGCCTGGGAAAGGTGGGGAGGATACAGTGGGTGGCAGGGTGGCCTCACTGCTCTGCGGTGGGAGACTGCAGGGTTAAGGGACTCGGAGATTTCTTTAAAAGTTGAAAGGAGCAGTCAAGACTGGCCCAGCCTTCCTAAAGCATCCCCACCCACTCTAAAAGGGTTTTGGCCCTCCAAAGAACCCACATCTCCATCCGACAATTTCACAATCCAAG